GGCACAATATCTCATAGCTCAGCTTGTCATTACTTCACTTGTAATTCTTATGTTAATTATGTTCATAATTACTATAAACAGATGTGGTAGAAATTCACGTGACCTTTTACTGCAGAATGCATTTCTCACTCTTTCCACTTTATTGTAGTAATATAATGTTAAACCAGAGGAAAGTATTTCTGACACACTCTGCATGTATGTGTGTACATATTTAACATGAAACCATTTCTACCTCATATTTCAGCCAAAGGACCACCTACCTGCCAGTACATTGACATGAAAGTGATGATAACTCAAAAGTCTAACCTGAACCATACCCCTGAAAGACTGTGCTTACAGTGAAGCTTTTTGATTAAGCCTAGCTAGAACCATCACTGAAGCCTACGACTTAAAAGGAGCGCTGCATTTTTATTCAGCACTTTTGTTAATGCAGCAGTATCCTGCTTTACAACTACAAGTACGTAACAGTCATACAGTAATTTATTTTACTCACAGACCAACCATCACCGTCTGCACACAAAACACATTTACAATAAAATCACTATGGATTTCATTAAGAGAGAACCCGCTCAAATTTCATTTCTTTGGACCTAATCTATAATTAGTGTGGACAGACAGGTGCAAACCCTTCTCCTCTACAGATGGCTACTGGAAATGGTGCAAAATAGCTCCTTCTGTTTAAACAACACACAGATAACCTGCTCTGCTCTTATCACTTACAATTACCTCCATTATACTGAACTAATGTTTACCTTAATAAAATGTCCACTGTTCTCTAAACGTTATTTGGAAACTTTCATATCAATGGCAGAAAAAAAAATGAAGATGGAAGTCAATGTCTGTCAGATGAAAATTGGGCAGGGGGCAGGAAATAAGGCTTTTAAAGAGCAGGATATTTTGACTTTGATTTTACGTCTGCTGATCATTTTTCTTTATCCACAAAACCACATAGTATAGTACTTCCTGATGTATTTATGCTACCATATATTAAACTAATCAAGTTTATAGTAAATAAGAACATGATAATTGCATTTTTAAAGCAGTTCTTTAAAAAGGTACATCTATGTGGAAAACTAAGACCCTTAGCATTAGAAGTTCAGTTTTTAAACTAATTCTTTTAGATCTTTCACTTGAAAAGACATGAAGGCAATGTAATCTGGAAGGCAATGTTTTAAGAATTTACACTCTCATTACTTATGCTCGATTCAGTGTCAGTTTCAACTTTTTAAATTTTATAGGTTGCTCTTAAAGATTGTATGAAAAAGACTAGGCTGCTACTAACTAAATGGATCAAAGTTTTTTAATGTATTCGGATTAAAATTAATTATCTTTTCACATTTCTTTAGCCAAGCCACGAGAAGTAACCCCTTCAGAACACCAAATTCACATTTTATTTCAGCTAATAAGTCTTCTTGATATCCACATGACAACTTAAGTTTCTACAGAACAAAGAACAAGATCTTCTCCTCCCCCCCATCTAAAAAATCTGAAGCTCCTGCAATACCAACATACTAATATCCTTATTCAATTAGCTAAAGATTTAACAGTAATGGACTGTGGCAAGTGGATTTGAAAGATGAAAATGACAATTGCAAGCCCTTTCTCCCATCCCCAATGCAAATACTGCAGATGCCTATTTAACCCAAAGCGCCTGACAACGAGGAGTTCGCAGCCTGCACAGAACCTCAGTGAGGCGAGCTTCACATTCAACGCCTGTCGTCTGAAGTTCATTTCAGAGAAGTGAGAAACAGGATTTGACAGGAAAGAATGTCCTGAACTGACTAGCCACTGACCAGCACTCCAGGTGGAGCTATTTTTCTCCCCCTTTATTCTATAAACAATACTCCCAGTATAAAACTTCATGTGCGCGCAGGCATACACAGTGTTAAGCGTACACAGATGAGAGACACCATGTGATGTTTTACTGGTCATTATTTAGGCACAAAACAAGTTAATGTTAAGGTGGTCAAAAATGGTAGAAGGCAATGTTTTACTTAAAAAGATTTTGGAAACTATTTAAAAGCTCAAAGCCTTTGAAGAAAAACAACTTGTGCAGCAGTTGCCAGGAAGCAGTGACCTAACACTGCTGTCTGCATTCCATTACAAACAGAATGGTTCTTGTCTCCCTACAGCATGCTCACAGCTTGGGAACCCAGCCTCTCACCCTTCTGCAAGCACAGGACCGACGGAAGAAGTCCTGCCATCATCTCCTGTATGCCTCGCCTGGCTCCAGTTTGCCAGGAACACCAACAGTTTTAAGAGTGGGTTGGGTTTTTAGTGGAGTTCAGTGTTTTCTTGCGCTTCTGTGTGGTTGAGCTCCCCACGGCAGCGAAGAAAAATGACTCATTAATTGAAAGTAGTAGCAATTATACTGAAGATTCAGATATGATGAAAGTGACCATCAAAAAGTTATTATCAAACAGTGTAAGTTCCTAATTAAAAACCTTTACAGCAAATCTGCAGTGAGTCTCACACCTAACAAAGCCTTTGCCAACTTCGTATCTTCATAGACTATACAGTTATGAATAAGCCATACTCAGGTCTTTTCCCTATTATTCCTCCTTTTGATGGGGAGCCACAGAAACACCTAGTGCTAAAACCAGAACGCAAAAACAAGATGGACTAACTTTTTTAACATTCAGCTGAGCTAAAGGAAATTCCCTGATCATATTGGATTTCCTAAGGAAATCAGCCCAGAATAAACTGAATGAGGTTTTCAGACTTCCCATGGAAAGGTCAAGCATCAGCTTTAAAAACCATTGGAAACCAGCTTCAATCCTCTGTCTATCCAGATTCACTAAACCGTTAACAGAAAAGCAGAACAGAAAACCTGGATAATAGAATTCAACTCTAAAAATGTCTTTCATATCTTGCCTCAAACTGCAGTTAACAAAGTTGCATATTTAAACTTTCCATTGCATCTGTCAGGATGCAGAAACGGAGATGGAAATGTAAGGCTTCAAGAGTGTAGCTAAATAAATTATATTCACCCTTAGCCCTAACATATTGTGTTTACAAATACAATAATTATGTTTCTAGCTACATGTCAAAGGCAAATAATTTCTAAGTCCTTCAAAAGGCATGCAAGCATTACTGTAAGTAGGAAATAAGTCAAAACAGATTAGTAGACCAGAAATGGGGAGGGGAAAAAAAAATCCTGCTTTGGTCAGCAACTCGGACCACCATCAGGGGATAAATCAATTTGCAGCAGCTGTGGACAGCCATTTAAGTCTGGGGCCTGAACAGATTAATTAGGAGAAGCGATGTTAAAAGTTAAAGGGGTCAGCGTTACATTAAGCACACCAGTATTTGCTGGAGCAAACGCTTGGCTGTACATACCAAGACTCAGAAGACATCCTTGCAGTTAGGCAGGGCTTTGCCAATAGCCAAGCGTTTGGCACTTGCTGCTTTCCCAGGCACAGCACGGCAGCTCCCGCAGGCTGCTTTTAAGAGGTCTATACCCATCCTTGCCCAGCCCCTGCCGCGTCGTGCCATGCCCGTCACCGCGTCCTGCTCTGCCCGCGCAGGCAGGCGCGCAGCCGTGCACGGCGCACCTTGGGGCCGCACCGCCGAGGGAAGGCAGGCGCTTCCCGCCCGGCTGCGGTTGACAATGGAAAACTTAGACAGCTTTTTCGGGCAGACTTGCTGCCTCGAACTCAGCGGATCGCAGCCCGCTCCCGAGCTATCCGCGGGCGGGAGCTGCCGGCTCAAGGCGTCACGGCCGGGCGGCTGCGAGAGACGGGTCCTCTCTGTGCCGTGATTTAGGGCACGGCAGAGGTAGGAGAGGGTGACAGGCAGAGCCTGCTGCGGACCGGGAGATGGAGGGCTACTCTACCAGAGAAATCTGAGCGGCTTCGTGGCGGCTGTTCCCCACCGCGGCGATGGATGGGAGCCCCCGGCTGCGGTCGGGCAGGGCGGTCCCGCTGCGCCCGGCTCCGGCTGCAACTTGGGGGGCAGGAGGGGGAGGCTGCCTCAGCGCCTCGTACCTTTACCCTCCCTCCTTTAAACTAATCAGTGAACTAAAGGAAGTAACATTTTAGCTCCTGGTTGGAGCAGAAGCTATTTAAGAGCTGCGTCTGATTAGTTACTTTCGGTTTCTCTCTAACATTTAGGAAAGCAGAGTACAGGAACGACAGATATTTCTATATAAATTAACTCCGCAACGGAGTCACGGGTGCTCCTCCTAGGGCGGCAAATCCTTCCCTATCCCAAACCCAGTTTCTCAACTTTGACACTGATAAAAGGACTCGAACTCGCCAAAAGTCAAAGGCTCGTCTAAATGGCTGTGAATGTGGTTTTCATCCTTCCAATCTGATTCCCTTATCGACGGTCTGTTACGAATTTATAGAATTGAACCATTCAGCTCAGTCACACAAGATGACACAGTTACATTGTATTGCAGTTCTGAAAATGCAATCTCTAACGTTATCCCGTCGTTTTAGGAAACGAGATACTTGCAAGATCGCGGTGCTGCTAAAGGCGACGTGTACCACCTGAAATATTTCTTGCAAAATAGCCCCAAGTAATGTTACCAGTGCTGAATAAACCTATGATTGCAGTGAAACAAACAAGCGAAACAAAACAATCCCATCAGAAATATTTCAGGCACTCCGACTCGCTTTGGGCCGGAGCTAGGGTCTGGAGAGAGGGGAGGCAGGAAAAAAAAGGGCAAGCCCTAAGTCCAGACAGAAATCTAACGCTATGGAATAATGTGTGCCTGGGAGAGTTATTTTCAGCAAAACTCTGTTATTTGGTTTCTGAGCTCTTGAGCAATATCCGGAGTGCTAGTTTGTGAGCCGGGGACAGAGCGTGTAAGACTGCATGCAGCGCTAAACTGGCCCGGGCACAGCGGCAGCCCCGGTCCGCCTGGGTTAGTTACAGCCACTGGAGCTCCTCAGAGCCGGGGAAACCTTGCAGGAGAGGAGAAAGGGGAAGAAAAGGGTCTCGGGCTGCTCCCGCCCCGGCGCGCTCTGCCCAACCCTGCCCGCGCCCGTACTCACACTGCAGAGGACCGGAGATGCCCACCATTCGCTTCGGGCTGTGAGCTGCAAATAAAAGTTCCCGTCCTGGTCGGGGGAGAGCCGGCAGCCCAGGCTGCTGGAGGGGCGAGGGGGTGGGAAAGGGGAGAGCAGCGCTGCGCGGCTTCCCTTCGCAGTCCAGATGATCCACGTCCACAAAAGTCAAAACGAGCTGAGGAGAAACTCCAGCTGCTCTTCCCCCCCACCACCACCCTCTCTCGCTCTCTCTTTTTTTTTTTTAAAGGCGGATCAGCTCGAGAGAGACTACTGGTTCCACGGGAAAGGACAAGAACCAAAAATAAAGCAAAGTCTCCAAGTCGAGATAGTTAATGCCCAAGTCCTTCTCCTTGCTGCCGCCGCCGCCGTCTCAGACAAACGTGATGTGGAGCGCAGGGAGCGGCCGCTGTCAGTGGCGGGATCTCTGCCGGTCCCCGAGCAGCCGACGCATAGCTGAGCCCCCGGCGAAGCCGAGCCGCGCCGGTGCCGTGCGGTGCCGAGCCGAGCCGAGCCGCCCGCCCGAGGCTGCGCCGCTCTGCCCGCTCCGCTCCTCCCGGCTCCCCGCTAGCAGGCAGCGCGCGCGGCAGGCAGCATACTGCCGGCAGCCGGGCCGGCCCCGCTACCCAGGTGCAGGGGGGGGAGGGCTTAAAGCAGTGGGAGGTGATAGAGGTAGGAGACATCTGTGTCGTGAGGAGGTTAGTGGGGGTCAAGTATATGTTAACAATAGGCGAGCGCGGTCCCTCTCGGGCAGCTTGCCTACTCTTTCTTTCTCTCACTCGCTTTTACTGGGTGGACATCTAACTTGCTCCCTAATGATGCCTCCCCGGCTTTAAGAGTCCAGACTGCCCTGCAGTAACCCAAGACAAACACTTTCTCTAGCCATCTGGAGAGCTCCTGGCTGCTCTGCCTGTGTCTCATCACTGTGTGAAGAGACAGCAGTGCTAGAAATCAAGCCACTCTCAGATCTACTCTCTAATCCCCTTCTGTTAGCTGATTTCCAGTCAGATTGTTTGCTTTTGCATTAGATAATAGCCTTAGAGAAAACAATTATCATTTTCTTTTTCCTTTTGTTTTTTCCTCTTTTTAAGGTACAGTATCAAGGAAGGCCTCCCCCTCTTATTTTAAAAGAAATTTATAGTCTTTCATGGCTTGCAGAACCCAGATGCAATTTCACACTTTCCTGGAAGGGAGTTCTGGGTTCTTCTGAAAGCAGTGACACGATCGCAACTGCAGCGAAAATTAATTACTATCATCTACAATTAATAGAAGCATGCCACCATTTGACTTCGTGTTTCATTACATAATCATTTCGGTAGGCATCCATATATTTTCCAATTCATCAGTTATTCCCTTCTACATGTTACAGAGAGTATTATTGTCAGTCATACAACATATAGCAGCAAACTGGTATTTCTGCTATCATGTTGACACTATAAAAAGAAGACGTCTCTACAAAAAAAAAAAAAAAAAAAAAAGAAAAGCACATCCACTTCATATATTTACTTCAGATTAAAAAGTGCATTGTTTTGGTTTTTTTTTTTAGATTTCAGATAATGTATTGGAACTGTCAGAACTACCGGGACATTTAGCTTCATTTTTTCAAATGTCAAATGTTAAGTAAATTAGTGAGCATAGAGTGGAACTTCTTATCAAGCTGCCTTCTTTATTCCTGTACATGCACATGTACACGCACATACACATACACTATAGGCCTGATCTTGCAAACTTACAAATGCTTAATTTTAAACACATAAATAGACCTATTGAATGTAAAGTATCTTTCCATGTGTTTATCATAAACACATTCACATTTCCGGGGGGGGAAGTATTTATATGTATATTTATATGCATATTTATAGCAGTATTTGTCTGCCTCTGTGACTGGCTTTGAAATTTTGGTTGATTTTGAAAATATGTTTAAAATATATTTTATGATCTGGATAAATCTACCTTTTCTGCAGATATTTAAGGACATGGAGCTTTAATGAACTGGTTTGAATCTTGTAATATAGCATCAAATTTACCTTGAAGTAAATTCAGGTCCACAGATCGTATATCAGAACATGTTTTGGTCTACTGCGATTTCAATTTACAAAGATGGTGAGCAGCCATAAGTCTGGCATTGATTTCTAATTTAAAAACTATCTGTTTTACAGAGGTCTATATCAAGGCCAAAGTTATGGGAGAACCTTCAAAAAAGTATTTTCAAATATTTAAAAATAATCTAAAAGTAGCAAATTTTACAAGGCTTCTTTTGTCTACAGCAGATCTAGAAACTTTAGTTTGAAAATCTCTGTGGTGTAATACTTTCATTCCAATTGTTCTATGTGTAAGGTGAAAAATAAAGAAGAGATTTGCCAGTGGTCTCAGAGCATGTTTTGCTGAAGTGTCAGGGACTTAACACCGAGTCCTAATTCTCAGTTTACAGCTTTAAAAAAATCCCACAGTGCTTCCTCTTTAGCATGTACCTTCATTCTAAAAGATCAATCAACTTTCTAGGTATACAGTTCAAATTAGTGGAGGAACATCATCTTAGATTTAGAAACTCTGGAAACTGTAGTCTGAGCCATTAACAATTTAGGATCCAGAAAGTTTACAGAGTTCTGTGTTCTCTTTCCATAATGAAAAAATACAGAAATCACCTATTAATCCCCTAGCCCTGGCTCATCTTGCATGGCATTTCCCACTGCTCCCAGTAAGGACAAAGCCTTCCCAAACAATGGAGTGTATTAGAGAGTGATAAATACCAATTCTTGGTGGCAACTATAGTTTTCTCAGACACGCTGGGAGAATAAATTGGTATGATTCCTAAATAATAAAAGATTGTAACCATAAAATGTTATCATTATATTGCAAAGCTGATGATTAAATGCTGGCTTATTGCAAACTGCTCTTATCCGTACCTTTTTGTTTCCTTTATTTATTTCCTGGAGAAAGTAGATATGTTTTAGTGAAAGAGGAAAAATAAGTATGTTCTTCGAAAGATGAATTCATGTTTCAGTAAAGAAAAAAAAATGCAGCCTCACAGTAGACCTCACAAATACTTGGTAACTTTACACCCTACAGATTTTTTCTGCAGACTGTAGATGCCACGTCTGATTTGACATATGAAGGATTTACACTGTGTATCACTGTGTGACATTGTGTGAGAGGAAGGCTGGTAAAAGTATAGTTGCACATGGAAGTCAGAAATATCCTGCTAGGCTGTCCAAATCTGACTATATTTTGATTGTACAGAGACTGATCAAATGTTCAGAGCTGAAACATGGCTCACTCTTTACTGTGAATAATTATACTATGGGCAGTCATCTGCACTGAAATTCTTGGAAGAGAATTTAAATATCAACTCACCTCATTGCTGTTTAAAAATAGAGACAAGTATGTCCCTCCTAATTGTCACTGCCTTGCAGCTCAGAGTGTTACACATTGTCACATGTTCCCATCCAGAGCTCAAGCTCCTCAGACACTTTTCCAGTCAAACTGTGCAGACTTTAAGTCCATACTTTTTTTTTTCTGTGATGTTTCTCTATAAACGTGTTTTCCACTTCCAAAAGCTCGCTTTCACCATCCATGAAGTGCATGAGAATCCTTCTATTTGCTTCCGTTGAAGCTGGATTGGGCCTTGGCATCCGGATCGGGGCTGTAGGTAGTTACTACAGCATTCATTTGACAAGCTGCATTTGGATGGAGCAGCACAGTAAACATTCATATAAAACTAAATAGTCAGATAGAATGCTAAGCTGGATCCTTGATAATTTTAACTCACAAATCTTTCCCATAACCATATTTTTCTGATTTTTCCTCTAATCTACAAGTATATTTTACATGTTAGCATGGGCCCTGCTTCATTTCCATCTTGGTTGGTGTGCGCACCTTTTGTAGGTTGTGCAGTGCAGAGGACTGCGGTGGGATGGAGGCTGCTGCAAGATTCACACTAATGTTGCATACACTTTTCTTCAGAGAATCCTTTTCAGTTTAGCTGGGAGTACAGGCTATGTCCTGCTTTGACCCCTGTGCAGAAAAGCAGCAGACATAAGAAGTCAGGTGTTGCAGAAATGCTGCCCCTGCTCAGGGCTTGGCAAGGGCTGGGGCAGGTGAGCCCTGAGTTGCTGGTTGTGCTTTGCAGCTCCACATACTTGGAAAATGTGCACCAGGACTAACGCTTGAAAATGTGAGCAGAAAATGTGCAGTAGCAGGATAGATCCCCACCCTTTAGTATGCAAAGCATGTCCACTAGGTGATGTACATGCTGCAAGAGCTGACATATTACCTGCCTTTCTTTCTGTTCATACTATTGTTTACCCTTTGGTAGTGAGGAAAACGTATTAAGTTCTTTCCAAATTAAAACAAAAGGATCACTATCTGCTTTCAGGAATTCATAAGCTCCACTGATGTACATTTTGACATCTTCTCTTTTTCTGATGTGATAGATTTTAGCTCTGCTTCATGTGTATTTATATGGCATATTCCTTAATATACTAGGGACACTTTTTATATTCTTGGTTTCCTTTTGGAATTGTCAGGAGTCCTAAAACCACTTTAATATTTCAGCATTCTGAAGCACTTTGCAGAAGAATATATGCATAGTGACAGAAAAAGGGGAGCTGGGTTATTTTGGAAAGATCACATAAACAAAAATTATGTATTGGCAGTCATTTGTGGGAATGCCACCTTTGTCACTCATTTTCAGTAAAATATGGCTTCTTATTAAAAACCACAACTTTTCAAGAGAAAAAATTCTACTGGTTAAATAAAGCATATCAAGCAAAAAGAGAGAGAAAAAATTATTTGAAAAGTTCATTTGTCTTGTCTTAATCCATTGTCTATGTTTTAGTTATTCAAATAAATATGTATTGAATATTCATCAAATTAATATTTAAATGTATTTAAAATCAAAGATATTTATTTTTAGTGCTGAAATATTTTTGTCTCTGCTGAAGCCGAGGTAATAGATTGTGCTGAAATAATACAGGTTTGGTGCTTCTTCTCTAACAAACACAAAAACACCAAAATGGAACTAATAAATTTGATTTCCTTTAATGTCGAAGTGCAGGAAATATTTTGCTGTTGAGGTTCCTGGAAGCAATAAATGCTATATTGACTGCCACGCAACACACACACACTTGCACTCAGGATACCTTGCCTAACAGGGAAACCATTGCCCTAAAACACATGCATACAGTTCCTTAACTTCCCACCTGCTGGGCAGCCACCTGCAATAAACAATAGTGGTCTAATATCAGACAGTAATAAAATAAGCAGCCATGAAGTGCTTTACCTAAACACCACTAGAAGTCCCTCAAAAGTTGAGCTGCAGGCTGGGGAATCCTTGCCTCAGAGGCAGAAGGGGGACCTCTCTTAAGACAACCCTCTGAAGGCCAGCACATTCCCTTTTTAAATATACCTACTGTAAAGAGACAGCGGCCTTCTGTAATGTGCATAATGGTGCACAGCTACAATGAGGTAATGGATCCAAGGTGCATGATCTGTTCCA